TGTAATACAAAAATTAAATACTTTTGTATTAATAAAAGCATTAAAACTTCATTCCTTTTCATTAAATATCTTTAGTAAAGGATAAGGGTAGAAATTCTATTTTGGGACTTCAAGGCTAAAAACATGCCAATGAATAATAATTAGATTTATACTTCAAAAGAGAAGTTATTTTAAGATTTTTCACTTCCATATAAGGAAAGATTAAACGATTTGCTATGAGTAATAAATAAATTGATGAGGCGCAAGAATACAGAAAAAGGCAATATGACTAGCCTCTTAACAACTTTTAATCATCCTATAAAATGCAGGAGCAATGTTTTTGCGTGACTTTTTGGTGTATAATGTTTACCAACTAAACTTCGTCAGATCTGACGGTAACTCTGTCTCTCCCTCTCCGTCTGGAGAGGGATGAAAATGCTATTTCACCATCGTTTAGTAAAATAAAAGATTATGCCGAAACTGGACTCGTTAATCATGCTGCTCTCACTACTAATTTACTAAAAAATAACGGTGTGGTTACACCGAATATTTCAAGCCTGCAGGACTTTTGCTTTGTGCAGGAAACCCCTTGAAAGAAAATTTTTGTGCAATACTATCTCTTGGGATATAGGCCTAAAGTGACCGCTACCTCGTCGAGAAGGATTCCTCATCCCTTCGTCAAAAATCTTGGATGAGTTTTTCACCCCTTTGAATTGAAGAGAAAAACTTACTTCATTGGATTCCTGATAGAGATAAAAATGTTTTCGATTAGAAATCCCATCCCTTTACAAGTGACCTACGGAAAGTTTAGTTATGCCAGTGTTACTCTGGATTAATCGTCGATGAAGTGTTTTCTCACCCCGGAATGGTTTACGATGGTCTACTTAGATGTTCGGCATTCCCTCCCTCCCTCCTACTCAGAACTCAAAGAAAAATAAGCTTCAATTTCTCCTTCTCTCTCGGTGAATTTATGAATCATTTTCACGAAAAGAAAAAAAAAAATGTATAATTCTTTCCTATCAACTTTAAATTGATGTTGTGGCTTTTAAGATATGTTTTGGATTAATTCGAACTTTATCCAGCTTTGTATCCTTTAAGTATTTTTTTCTAAAACATTTAGTTCTTTGATTTTTACTGATTAATAAGAAAAAGAAAGAGCGCGATTGATTTTTTTTTCTCTTCGCCAAATATGGAAGAAGAAAAAGTGATATATAAATTATTTTTTTTCTTCTTTCTCAAAATTTGTGATACTGTTATGATTACATATTTTAGTGATAATTTTTTTTTTTTATTCTGAATAATTGAGTAAATTATTAATGTTGGATTGCATTTCTTATATTTATATTCGTTTTATTTTTAAATTATGATATATTTTTTTTTCTTCAACGAAATTGATGAAGGTCGACGTTGGAGAGTAGGGTGTTCATTTTTTATTGAAATTAGATATGAGTAATGAGAAAACTTTTTATTATGAATAATTGAATAGAATGTTTTTAAGAGTTAGATTGCATTTCTTGTGTTTATATTGCTTTTTTTTTAAATATGATATGTTTTTATAGAGCATTTAAAATGTTTTTGAAGGAAACAAATGCGGTTCAAACGTCAATTAAATTAGTAATAGCAAACAAAATTAAGTTATTTTTTTTTAAAACTTTTGTTTCTTAATGATTTATCACGATTAAATCGAAAAAAAAAAAAAAACTTAAAGGAAATTTGTAAAAATTTTGCTTTTTCGGACTTGTTTAAAACTAAATATTTCTATGAAAAAAAATGTGAAAACTTAAAATGTTACCCAAACAAAAGGGCAGTTAACACTTAACAAAATTTGCGAGTTTCCCTTATTACGATAGGCGAAATTTTTAACTCAGTTAAGTTTTTATACTTGATACTGATTTACCATATGCTTTAGTAGGGTTGTAGACTTGCAAAGATTTTTGTTTGTTTATTGATTGTGTCGGGCCAGTTGTTACTTAATTTGGTAAGAGATTGATCACCTCTGCTAATTCAAACAATGACAACTTATCTTTGCACATTAGACAGCAAACTTCTCAAAATGTTAAGGTTAAAAATTGTGGAAAAAAAAAAGTTTGATGTTTCAGTAAAAGTAAACATCGAAAAAATAAAAAAAAGTTGAGGATGTTTCAGTAAAAGTAAACATCGAAAAAATAAAAAAGTTGAGAATGTTTCAGTAAAAGTAAACATCGAAAAAATAAAAGGTTTGATGTTTCGACAAAAGTNAAAAGTAAACATCGGAAAAAAAAAAAAAGGTGAAGGGTAACAAAGAGAAAAGAAAAAATAGGAAAAAGGAAGAATAACCAAGAATCTGATCACAAAATAAAAAAAAAATAAAAAAGTAAGTAAGCAAAATTTCGAAATACTACATGTATCAAAACTTAGGAAAAATCACAAACTACAAATGTTAAAATTAAATCATGAATAATGTCCAAAATAAATGTTTTTATTTTCTTCAAAGGAAGAAGTAATCCCTATATTTTTGAGAGATCCGAATCGCGTGTGGAGATGTTTGGCGAGGAAACTTGAATTTTTTTTTCTCAACACAGTGGAAAAAAAAAAAATAAAAAAAAAAATTATGAACTATTTTTGTTTTATCCAGTCTGGATCTCTCAATTTCACAATGCTTCATGAAATTCTGTTTTCCTCCATTTTAACGGGGAATACAGAATTTCATCTAGTAAATAACCCCATTAACCATACAGAATCTTAAATTCTGATTAAATGACACTTGTTGTCCAAGTCATTTTGCATAAAAATTTTGTATATTTTTGTGTGGAAAAATTTTTGAAAAGTTTAATAGAAAAGTTATAAATTTATGTTTCAATTTTCTTTCTGTTTAGTTCACTAAACAGATAAATTTTATTATTAGGTTTTTATTGTTGTTACTGTAAAATAATTTTTTTTCACATGTTGAAAAAAAGTTATTTGTAAAAAAGAGGACAGTCATATCAATGTAAATTTTATAAATTCATAGTATTCTAAATTTTATTATTTTGTTTTGGCTTACCAAAAAAATTTTTTTTTGGGGGATGTACTACAAAAATTAAATACTTTTGTATTAATAAAAGCATTAAAACTTCATTCGTTTTCATAAAATATCGTTAGTAAAGGATAAGGGTAGAAATTCTATTTTGGGACTTCAAGGCTAAAAACATGCCAATGAATAATATAATTGGTACAAAACTATANTATATATATATATATATATATATATATATATATATATATATATATATATATATATATATATATATATATATATATATATATATATATATATATATATATATATATATATATATATATATATATATATATATATATATATATATATATATATATATATATATATATATATATATATATATATATATATATATATATATATATATATATATATATATATATATATATATATATATATATATATATATATATATATATATATATATATATATATATATATATATATATATATATATATATATATATATATATATATATATATATATATATATATATATATATATATATATATATATATATATATATATATATATATATATATATATATATATATATATATATATATATATATATATATATATATATATATATATATATATATATATATATATATATATATATATATATATATATATATATATATATATATATATATATATATATATATATATATATATATATATATATATATATATATATATATATATATATATATATATATATATATATATATATATATATATATATATATATATATATATATATATATATATATATATATATATATATATATATATATATATATATATATATATATATATATATATATATATATATATATATATATATATATATATATATATATATATATATATATATATATATATATATATATATATATATATATATATATATATATATATATATATATATATATATATATATATATATATATATATATATATATATATATATATATATATATATATATATATATATATATATATATATATATATATATATATATATATATATATATATATATATATATATATATATATATATATATATATATATATATATATATATATATATATATATATATATATATATATATATATATATATATATATATATATATATATATATATATATATATATATATATATATATATATATATATATATATATATATATATATATATATATATATATATATATATATATATATATATATATATATATATATATATATATATATATATATATATATATATATATATATATATATATATATATATATATATATATATATATATATATATATATATATATATATATATATATATATATATATATATATATATATATATATATATATATATATATATATATATATATATATATATATATATATATATATATATATATATATATATATATATATATATATATATATATATATATATATATATATATATATATATATATATATATATATATATATATATATATATATATATATATATATATATATATATATATATATATATATATATATATATATATATATATATATATATATATATATATATATATATATATATATATATATATATATATATATATATATATATATATATATATATATATATATATATATATATATATATATATATATATATATATATATATATATATATATATATATATATATATATATATATATATATATATATATATATATATATATATATATATATATATATATATATATATATATATATATATATATATATATATATATATATATATATATATATATATATATATATATATATATATATATATATATATATATATATATATATATATAAATCTCATCTGGATTTGTCTTATACAGTCGGACTTCTATTTAACGAACTTCCATTTTACCAATTTCTCTGTTTTGCGATTTTTTTCGGGGAACCATGAACATTTTAGAAATTTCCTCGTAAAATAACTTCCATAAAGCGAAGTGAATTTTCTTTGAGATCCACATTCCCTATTTCCCAAAATACTTCAGAACATTTCAAACTTGTTAACGCATTTTATAGGGGAAATGACCTTGAATTGATTTCACAGTCACTTAACTTTCAGAAGAGGCAGTGAAATCCCTTTTCCCTTTTTGTTTGCATTTTATACAGGAATCCATGCCAAAAATCAATTTACGAGAGAGGATAACAGAAATTTCTAAAGCATGGAACTATGATGTTACTGATTGTAGTATTCTTAACAGTTTTGCTAAAGCTGGATTCTAAGTCAGCGCGGATAATTTGGAAAGAGCGGAGGGCGAGGAGGATATTCTTTTAAAAGAACTTAAAAAAAAATATGGGTACAGCTAAGACAGAACCAAAAAATTAACGTTGATGCACTGATTAATTATTTTCTTTTTATTGATTCTGAAGCTGTAACCGCAGAAACATTAATTGAGTCCGATATGTAGGAAAGTGTGAAAAATAAAAACAACAAATTGTGAGGAAGAAGATGAATACAGAAATAACGGCAGGCACTGAACTTTCGTTCTTCGCCTTGCCGTAAGTGTTGCTCATTTATCGATACCCAAGTGGGCACCTGTGAACCGAAGTCACGGAGGCGGGCAACATTACCCACGCCACAAATACCCATTCATAGGGTGGGATACATTCACACATCAGAAGACAACACAGAGAGAGAGAGGGAAACATCCATGCCCAGAGCGGGATTCGAGCCCGCAGCCATTGATTTCGCAGTCAGGCACGTTAACCACTCGATCACCTGCCCGGCAATACAGATATTATGAATAAATCACCAGATCTTAATATTATTAAATGCTAAAATCATTTGAAACAATTCCATAGTAGATAATAATTTACAAGATGTATCAATTGCTATTTTAATTATGGCCAGAATTTATAAATTTAAAACCTTTTTTGTGTTGTTTAAGTATTTCAAACGGTGATTTTCTATTTAACGAATTTTCCATATAAGTAGCTTTTTATCTGGATTCAGCGACTTCGTTAAATAGAGGTTCGACTGCATATACAAGCATATATTTTACATCCAATCAAAAACATTTGAAGAACGAAAAAGAAAGAAAACACCCTTTTTTTCAGAGCTTAAAACTTTCCCTTCTGAATCAATTTAGTCTTTCTACCTATTCCCGCAGTGGACTGATCGTAAGGACACGGTTCGAAGAAGAACACCGAAGTCAAGCCTCTCTGATTGCTGTCAGTAAGCGGGTGGGTGACCACTTTGATCAGTCTGCTTAGGTACTGAGGTTGCGAGGTATCGGTCCTCTTTAAACTATTCTACCGCAAAGTGCTCGACATCGAGCGCAGATCGTCGGGCTACCAAAGCAGTAGTGCCATCCATTCTGCAGAGGATCAAAATTGCGATGGCAAGTCTTCGGATCATACTCAGGGATGTTTCCCAGATCGTCGCCAATAACCTATTGTGCAGCTCCAGTGTGACGTAAATAAAATACCTACCTACCTTTCTACCTCTTCCAGTGGTCTTTCGAATTTGTGATTTTTGACTCGCCATTCCACTTACTCGAACCTTGTTCCTTGACATTCGTAGTCTGGCAGAATTGACGCATGCGCACTAAGAGTGCTCATGTGCAATTACTTAAAATCTTACGTATGGGAGAGTGCGGAAGCTAGCGTAAATTTGTCTAATATCTTGATCTTAGTCACTTATTAAATAAATGGTTTTATGGAGAATTTAATTTCATAATGTTTCAGCACATTGTATGGAGAAGAGAAAATCAAATTGATACACTTCTTGTCGACTTCAAATGCCCAGAGGTAAAGTTATTAGTTTACTTTTAAAAAACAATAAAATGATTTGTAACTGTAGTTATTATAAATGTTTCTTATTTATATTTTAAATAATTAGTTACTAATTATTTGGTTATATTTCAAAGAAAAATACCAAGTTTTCTTCACAATATTTTGTTGGTAGAAAATTAAAAACAAGATTATGATATGATAGCTTTTTTAAGCTGTTGCTTTTCATTTTCCTTATCATTTATCCTAATCCAGTAATATTTTTTATAAGCTGGAATTAAAAATTTGCCTATTCGAATAAATCTTTCTAAGAGCTGAATTTTTTTTATGAATGTGTAACATTGACTTTTTTTTAACTTTGCGCTAGCAATAGCTTATTATTTTATAAGTTTACACTTACATAAATAAGCAATATGTGCCTTTAAATTACACGCTGTAGCTGGCCTTGACTACCGAGGTTTCTCTTACGTTTTCACTTTTACTTTTTGACCCTACTAATTTTTTCATTATGTCTTTTCTTATTTTTATCCTTCACGCGCCCTTCTGAGGATGAGCACCGTGTTTTGAGAGCTCGAAAAATGCTGACCTTTTTACCATGTCTACAATGAAGCAAATAAAATTTTGAGTAAATCGTGTGTTTCTTTCCCATTAATTTAAAAATAATAATCCTTCCATTTGCATTTACTTACTCTTGATCTAGCAGTATAAATTAGCTATTAAATTTAGCCTTAAAATTTTTTGCAAGTAATAATTACTCAAATTTATAATTGAAAATTTATTGAGTTGGAGTGAATTATTGGGTGTGATGTAGAGACCTTCAAGAGGAAAAATCTCATAACATTTAAAGATGATGAATTATAAAAATCCGGAGTCTTACGACACAGAGCTAACGCAAATAGCTATCACATTCGCAGTCACGAGTCAACTACCATCACGATTTATCAATCCAGCACAAGTGATAGCCAAAGGAGCGATTCCTGAACATTAGAGAGGATGGACTAGAACTCTCTGCGGACACTCATTCCGAAGTAATTTTTTGCTGGAGCATCTTAGCTTTAATTCTTGAAGTACACAATGTTCTTTCTATTAGATCATTCTTTTGAACTTGAAGCTAGATTAGCGTTAAGCTTAGAAGCGTTGATTCCCTCCCTATAATTGTATAAGTGTTTCCATTATTTTGACCAATCCCTGTAGTTCACGAGAGTAAAGAAAAGAACCTTAGTTAAAAAGATTCAAAATCATGCCGGAGAAATTTCGGAAAACCAAAATTTCAACTATAGCGGTCGAATAGTATCTGAGTTGTGAATCGTATTTACAAAATTTGATTTCTCATTAACTATTCTTAAATCCAATGATTCCCGCAGTGGACTGATCATTAAGACACGGTTCCCAGCAGATCACCGAAGTTAAGCATCACTGGCAGCGTTCAGTGGGTGGGTGGGTGACCACTTGGATCAGTCTGTGTAGGGACCAAGGGTGTGCGGTATTGGTCCTCGGTAAACTGTTCTACCGTAAAGTGTGCGACTTAGCCTGCAGGTCGTCTGGCTTCCGAAGTGGAGGTGCCATCTCCTCAGCAGAGGATCAAAATTGTGATGACATGTCTTCGGATCATCCTTAGGGATGCTTCCCAGAACGTCGCCAATAGCCCATTGTGCAGCTCTAGTTCGATGTAAATGAACTACAACAACAACAAACCTATAATTCAGCGAAAACTTCTGGCGCTTGTAAAATATATTTGCTCATTAAGGCATCTAACGTTTCAGAATTTTCTTTGACATCTTTTGTTCTCAGAGTCAAAATTACCACTTTTAAACCAACACTGACTCATTAGTAAGCATCCCACATCTATCTATAATGTTCTACTTCAAATAGAGCCTCCCACATCAATCTATAATGTTCTACTTCAAATGAAGTTTCCCACATCAATCTATAATGTTCTACTTAAAATAGAGCCACCCACATCTATCTATAATGTTCTACTTCAAATAGAGCCTCTCACATCTATCTATAATGCTCTCCTTCAAGTAAAGCTTCCCACATCAATCTATAATGTTCTACTTCAAATGGAGCTTCCCACATCAATCTATAATGTTCTACTTCAAGTAGAGCCTCACACATCTATCTATAATGTTCTACTTCAAGTTGAGTCTCACGCATCTATTAATAATGTTCTACTTCAAATAGAGCCTCCCACATCAATGTATAATGTTCTACTTAATGTTAATCCAGACCCCTTTATCGACCCTCTCCCGTTTAGCATTTTTTTAAATAAAAAAAAAGCATTTAATAGCAAAAAAAAAAGAGAAGCATTTCATAGCATTTTTATTTAGGGTAGGTAACAAATTTTAAAAGAAATCAAAGATTGACTATCTAAAACCAAGAAGAAACTCTCTAGAAAAGAATTTACCGAGAGCTGATTTTCCTTTCTCATTGTAAGATAAACGTTTTCATTTTGATTAAATAGATCTATACTGTGCAAGTTTGAGAAAATTATTGACTTGGATTGCGCGGTATATACACAAATACCCGTTGAAATAGATACAGAACATTTTTCTAACTGCCGAACTGTTAACATTTATATTAGAGTTTAGTAAAACTACGTTTACACTTCTACAAAATAAGACGAATTGGAAATTAAAACACAATAATGGCTCTTTTACCATTAGGAAGATAACTTCCCACCTACATGATCTAACAAGATACACCTGAGCGAAGCACCGGTCTTGCTGTTATAACTAAGGGAACACTAATTCCAGCTTCCGTTTTCGATATTCTAGCCAAACATATTTATCCAAATGAATTAATTCTTAATAAAACAAATAATAGTAATTCTTCAGCAAATTTTTTAGATTTGACTCTTAATATTAATGAAGATAAAAATATTACATTTAAACTTTTTGACAAAAGAAATGATTTTAACTTTCCAATAAAAAAATGCATTGATTTAATGGTGATTGATGCTAACTTAGCCAATAATGGTTTTTTCCTAATATTATTACCAATCAAATTCATAGATTTTACAGGAATAATTCTAACTATAACGAGTTTTCATTAGATACTGATAAATATAAAAACGATTTAATTAATAGCCATTTTCCTAGTTCATTTCTTAAATTCTATTTCAAAAATATCTTAAAAAACTTGGTACATTAATTTTTATTTTTTATTTAATTTTACTGCTTTTAGAATGAGCTCTGATTTTTTTAAAGGTAGGAACTAACTATGATAAACTGTTCCTAAAGCCACTGGACGGAATAGTTTGGATGTATGACCTTTTATACTGGATTAGTTAAATATTTTTTAAGTTACATCTTAATAATTTGTACCCTCTTAAAATTAATTTAATTATTTAAATTGTCAAGTATAATAAACAGTTTAATATTTAATTTATTTATAAATTTATTTTTATTATTATTATTTTTTTTAATTATTATTTTTGTATAAATGGAATGGGCTCTGGTTCATAAAGAACCACTCCAAATGAATGCAAGTGATACGTGTAGTTTTTGAAATTATGTAAGGATGTATGAATGAAGGATAAAGTCTTTAAACGGCTTTCTATCCATACGTGCAGGCTCTGACTTTTAAATAAGTCACCCTATGAATAATGGGAATGTGTATACTTTAAAATTATGTAAGGTTGTATGAATGAAGGATAAAGCCTATAAACGGTTTTCTATCCATATGTGCTGGCTCTGACTTTTAAACAAGTCCCTCTATGAAAGATGGAAATGTGTATACTGTAAAATTATGTAAGGATGTATGAATGAAGGATAAAGTCTATAAGCGGCTTTCTATCCATTTGTACAGGCTCTGACTTTTAAATAAGTTATCGATAAGTTAATGATGGAATGAAAATGAATGATTTTTTCCTTTTTAGTCTGCTAATTAAATTAATCCGTTAAGCAATTTTTATTTTTTATTATTATGAATTTAATAACATTTTCTCCTTTTTTGGGTTTTAATAAATTAATTTCCGAATAATACATTTTTACAAATATTTTACTTTAAAAAAATTTTCCTCTTCTTCGAGCAAATATATATTTTTTAATTTTACTTTATTCGAATCAAGCTATGAGCACAACTTCCAATATTTTACCTCTCCGCGAATTTTGCTAACTGTTTAATCATTGTACTTTTAAACCTAAACCGCATTTTGCTACACGCCGGTAAGTTTGATTACTTTTTTCTTTTATTTCATGATCTTTTTCAACAAAATGTTTTTTGTGATGTCGACACATATAAAGAATAATTTTTATCTTAGGATAATTATTCTTTATTCAGAAATATCGCATTAATTTATACCAATAGATGCTCCTTGATAACGACTATTGGTTTTCCCATTTTTAATTTCTCTTTATATAAATTTTTATTTTATTATGTATATATGTAACATAAAAAGCTTCTATTAATCTTTTTATGTTAGTTTCTTCGTTACAAAACAACTCCTAATTTATTACTACTTAATTCTCAAATCGAAGCACTTTATCACACTTTTAAAAAGCCACATCCTGTTTCTAAATCCATTTTTGGTCCAACTATGCATAAAATTAAATAAAGATATTTTTCCTTTTAAGCTTTGTGAGAATCGCGTGATCTATTTATTTAACCAATAGTAATTTCTGAGATTTCCCCCTTTTCCCTAAATAGAGACAATTTCGGATTTTTTGCAAGATTTTCCCTACCAGAAAGACTGTTTGCTGATGGAGTAAACATCACTCTTCGCTGTTCCTCCATAAGAAAATGATCTAAATAAAATACATCTGATTTCATTAAAATCCCGTGTCTGTTTCCCTGCTCGATCCGACTGCATCATTTTACAAGCCGAGCAGGATTATAAGAACAGTTGAAACGGGCGCAGGATAATAATTGCTAAAATACTTCTTCAAAATATAATTCAAAAATTAAAATAAATACAATTGGCTGAATCACGAAACTGATGCTGAATTGACATTGCTGTCTGAATGCTCTGAACTGACATTGCTCTTGAAACAGATAATGCTCGGGAAAATATCCTCTTTATTCCTGACTAAACGAATCTGATGCCAAAAATAATTAAAAGAAGATATTCTTGGGACATTCCTCTTTCATGTGTCCAGCGGAGTTGCCTCAACAGAATTTTTACGCTGCCCTGATTTGATTCCCGCCTACCTGAATGCTAAAAGTGCTGTGTGGTGGTTTCGGAATCGGAGTCCCTACTAGCTTACTGCCTGTCGGTCTCATTGAGGCATGATGGAGGTCCAGCCTATGATCGACTTGTTTCGATTGTGAAAGAGTGCATGATTTGTGAAAGAGTACAAAACCAAAAATGTCATCTGAAGCGGTAGCTTCGCGTGTGCAAATGTTTTATGATAGTGAATATGCGTGTTTCATCAAAAATTTAGAATGATTTATTAACTACAAAAAGGTGTATTTCAGTGTTTATTTTCATCCACAGTATAAATTTCTTTAATAGTATTTATATAACGAATGTTTATTTTTATCTGTGCTTTTGTTTTGATAATAATTTCAAAATATTTTTTTATTATCAAAGTAATAGGTGTTTGAAAAGCAAAAATAATAATAGATTTTGGTTATAATTTCTGAATTTCTTTTCATTCTTGTTATTTCATTTGAAATGATTATTAATTTTTATTCAATGATCTTATTTTCATTGTTTATTTTTGCATTTTAAAAACTTATTTACTGGGGGATGTAACATAAAAAGCTTCTATTAATCTTTTTATGCTAGTTTCCTTGTTATAAAACAACTCCTAATTTATTACTACTTAATTCTTCAAATCGAAGCACTTTATCATACTTTTAAAAAACCACATCCTGTTTCTAAATCTATTTTTGGCCCAACTATGCATAAATTTAAATAAAGATATTTTTTCTTTTAAGCTTTGTGGGAATCGCGTGATCTATTTATTTCACCAATAGTAATTTCTGAGATTTCCCCATACGAAAATGATCTAAATAAAATACATCTGATTTCATTAAAATCCTGTGTCTTTTTCCCTGCTCGGTACGACTGCATCATTTTACATATATATTATAAGTTTGGAAATCATTCTGTGAGCTTTGTTCTATGACACCTGTTTTAAAGTGATATTTGTACTGGTCAATGATTCAACTTCAACTATGAGTAAAAATTTGTTTTATTTGTAAAATTCCACTAAAATTTTTTTTTTTGATCAATAAAATATATTTCCCTTAAAGCAATTGTTCAATTGCTAATACAAGATAAAAGAAACTAAGAGAATTTCAAAAGTTAAATAGGGTTAAGTAAAGGTGGCTTGGTTTATTTATACCAGGTATTTTGTCTTTGTCTTATAACTTATTTGTACCCCTTAAATAATGTTGATTAATTCATACCCCTAAAATAATATTGATTCCTCATTTGTGTTTATGCCAGGTATTTTATCTTTGTCTTATACCCTATTTGTATCCTTCAAAATAATGTTAATTAATATTAATTCATCATTTGTGTTTATACCAGGTGATTCAAAAATATATTCCTATTAGCAGAATCGGATATGATAAAGATGGCTGCCCAATAACATACTTAGGTATAGGAAAAGTAGATGACATCGGTAATGTATATTTTTAATTCATTACATTTTTTCAGTAACTTTACGTGAATTTTAGTTATTTGAAAACTTTTATGATTATCTTAAGACTGTTTATCGAAAGCTCAATAGTTACATAAAACAAAATATATCAGCGAATGATATTTTTATAACTTTTGTGAGATTAGACCAGTTATTTACGTCGAAGAGGTCTAAGTCGTACCACTCTTCTCATTTAAATTTTTATAAGTCACAGATCAGTGACAATTGCATTTGAAATATTATAATAAAAATATAGTAATTTTGCAAGTTCTGTTTTTGCAAGGTCTGTAAGAGTTAAAATTTCGGAATCCGGTTGTTTAATTCGCTCCCTAAATGATAAAAACCTCAAGAAATATCGAGTATTTATGTTTAAGTGAATAGGTAGACAACACAAAATAATTGTTTTGTGGCGTTACAATTATTAAACATCAATTCACTAGTATATAAGACATACTAACTCTATTCAATATTGGGGTGCATTTTGTTATATGAAGGTTGACATAATCAAAAGATCATTCCCTACATTGGTATCCCGGACATGATAAAAGCTCCCTGATAGTAACGCCCATTTCGATGAATTGTCCGCATTGAACAATTGTTTTGCCACTCGTGATTGCGTCATCGTACTACTCGCGCTGTTGCTTCTCTGTCTCATTTACACACAAAAAGATTCTGTACACACTCGACTGCTAATAGCAACACAGGAGAAACTACACACACAACTGTGAACTTTATACAGCTCTCACCACAAGCGCTCAAACACCGGTGAACTTAACACAGCTCTCCCCGTCTTTCGCTAATACGGCAACTAGTGATATCCGTTTATCGAATTCTATCCCTGATAAAATACTGGTGGGGAGTATTGTGGTGTAACTACTACTACAATTATTAAATATCAACTCACTAGTATATAATGCAGGCTAAATTGATTTACTCTTGGGGTACCTTTTGATAAATGAAGGTTGACGTAAGACTCTTTTCCCACAGTTTAAGAGCATTATAAGAAATGTGATATTAAATCTATGAGTTGTTAAAAGTCTGGTAACAGTCTTATAAGCCTGTAAAATGTTAATGTGACACGTTACGTGCTACAAAGCTCTAGTATAATTTTTATTCGTGCTGATTTTTAAAATTAAATCTTCCTGAGATTTATCACCAATTTACGTTTTTTAGTTTTTAGAAATGGGGAAATTGTTTCGATGGAACCGTTATAAATTTTTTTTTTATATCCGTCGTGGAAAAGCCGACCCAGTTTTGGGTTTACGACTATAATGTTCCGTAGCCTTGTAATTTTGGACCAAATCAGAAGCCAAGGAAACTCCTGGATCAGTACCCCCAGAGGTATTGATTTGTTATGGGAACACGGAACGACAGATTTAACGTGCATCAGTCACCATTTACTACAGGCGGGGATCGAGCAATGCGAACTCTTAGTGCCCTACCAACCAGGATGCCCAGTGGTAGGGCACTAAGTTATGTTATGTTTATAATGAACAGGGGGGATTCACAAGAAAGTACGAAAAAGTATTCGACCTTAATTTTTCCTGCGAAAAGTAGTGCACAGTGGAAGGAGGAACCTTAATGCACATGACTGAATTTTCTCACCGTGTTCGCTTGTGCAACTCGCTGGCTGGTGGTCGCCAAGTAAGGTGCTGTTCGTAGTGTTCGTCGGATTTAGTTTTCTCGCAAGATGACTGAACGAATTGAGCAAAGATACTGCATGAAATTCTGTCTTGGTGATTCTGGGCTTGGTGATTCTCAAAGCCCAACAATTCGTAAGATTCAGCAGGTGTTTGGAGAAGAAGCGATGAGTGTAACACAAATTAAGGAGTGGTTCAACCGATTCAAAGATGGCCACACATCAGAGGAGAGTGAGCAACGGAGTTCTATGTGGTAGGCCTCAAACTGCTCAGAGTGCAGTTAATGTTGAGAGGTTGTGAAATTTGGTGATGGCAGATCGTCGTTTGACAGAGCGGGAGATTGCAGAAGAGGTTGGAGTGAGTAAAGATTTTGCACATGCAATTTTGCGTGAAGATTTGAACATGAACCGAGTGGCTGCAAAATTCGTACCCAAGTTGTTGTCGCCGGAACAAAAAGCACGCCTCTGCACATTCATCCCAATTGATCCACACTTTCTTAGCCAAACATGGAATTACAACCGTTCGTCAACCTGTCTACTCTCCAGACCAGTCTCCTTGCGACTTCTTGTTGTATCCAAAATTGAAGACGCCACTGAAAGGATCCAGTTTTGAGAGTAAAGAAGAGATAATGCTGAACGTGACGACGGAGCTGAACACCATTCCAAAAGAAGACTTCCAGAGGTGTTTCCAGCAGTGGAAGGATCGATGGGCTAAGTGAGTACAAGCACAAGGGGCCTACTTTGAAGGGGATTAGGGTCCCAACTTCGTCAGGTATTCGAAATATTTTTTCTGCCCAAAGGTCGGATACTTTTTAGACAGGCCTCGTATACAATTTCGATAAATGAAGAATAATGTTCAATTTTATACAGCAACGGAGTTCTATGGAACTATTTTGTTTTAGATAATGGCAGGTGTTCTATCTGTGACATCCCAGTCAGACGGCACACATACTCGGTAATCCGATTCCGCTGTATTTATCCTTTTCAAAGACATAAAAGCCTATTTCCACTGGTACTTAGGTACCTTGATAGATCCATTAGCATATTTGGTATTTAAACAGCACCTATTACTATACGTATTAATACCAATATAGAACCTCTTACCAAGATTATTAAGCATAATTGGCATAAATAATATGGTGTCGATTTTTTTTTCTCACTTAACCATAATGAAGAATAAGTACCTTTTTTTCATTAAATTTCCTTTTTAAGACATAACTTTTTCTTTATTTCAGTTATTGCTGATTTTAAGCTATTTAGTTTTTATAGAAAACGGTTTTAAAAGCAATACGTAGTTTAAAAGCAACCCATAAAATAAACACTCGGTTTCAGAAAGCATCAAAAAATCCAATTCGTAGAAGTGGGCATCGCACGCTATTCACATTGATGCTTGGATTTACCTGATTAAAATATTAAAAGTGTACTAATATATATATATATTAAAGAACGTACAATAAGCTCTTTTCATTCTTATTAAGTACAGCTTTAAGCTTGCATTCATTTTTGATATTATCTTTAAAATATAGGTAATTTCCCCAATATGCAATTGACCTGTATTATTGACATTTAGTTTTTTTCAACAATTGAGCTTATTTTTAGTACCCAGTATATTGTAGACTGATGCTTTTTTAAGGTTAAGGTGCCATGGTCCAGTATATATTTGCCCGGTATAGCTTACACTGATGTATTTTTAAGGGAGATTACCACTGCTCGTTATAATCTACCATAATGCTCAGTGGGGCCACCTATTGATGCTTAAGGTAACTACACAGGTGGATGCCATAAATATTTTTTTTAAAAAATAGCATGGTTTATAGTTTAATTTTAATCAATGGCTAATGCTAAATCCATAAGAAAAATTTATTTTTAAGCATCTTCTCCTAACGATCCAATTCAAATTTTTGAGTGATTTTTGGGATTGGGAGCTTGAATTCCCCCTCATGCTCTCCGAAATTTTAGAACTCTAGTACAAGGGTATTTGAACAGAAACGCGGTAACTCTTTTTTTTCATTAATATATCCCTACATTAATATGTACAGTCCGCAAAAAAAAAAA